GAAAGCAAAGGCTTAAAGAAGTCTTTTTATATCACTTGGCAACAAGCCAAGGGAATAGTAAGAAACTGCCCCACCTGTTCATTCTATAATGAAACTCCATTACCAGCAGGTAGTAATCCCAAGGGTATTCATAGAAATGAAATTTGGCATATGGATGTATTTCACTTTCCAGAATTTGGAAGTTTGAAATACATATATCATACCATAGACACGTTTTCAGGCTTCCAGTGGGCTATTGTTCTTAGCCCTGAAAAGGCTGATTCTGTCATCACACACCTCTTAGAGGTGAAGGCGGTTATGGGTATACCTGCACAAATAAAAATTGACAATGTTCCAGCATATGCCTCCAGAAAATTATAAGTTTTTCAAATACTGTAACATAAAACATGTAACTGCTATACTTAACAATCCTACAGGACAAGCAGTGGTTGAGAGATCTAACTGAGCCTTAAATTCTTCATAAACAGCCAGGAGGAACAAAGACCCCAAAACATACATTACATAATGCTTTACTAACACTGAACTTTCTTAATACTAATGATAAACTACAAACAGCTGCAGAAAGACATTAGACTACAGAAAAAACTTCTGAACTAAATCAACCAGTGTATTTTAAAGATGTTATGACATCAGTTTGGAAGCAAGGATATGTGTTATGTTGGGGAAGGGGTTTTGCCTTTGTTTCCACAGGAGAAGAAAAGCTTTGGATTCCATAAAAATTAATCAAGATTGTATCTGAACAGGAGAAACCTTGGGAATAGTAAAGATGACAGCCCATCCACAAAGTCATATTCTACTATGCAGAAGGAAACCTCATAAAGGGAAAGAGAAATGTCTTGTTTTGACTTCACAGGAAAACCTATCTCCAAACAGCAAAAAATACTAACCTATGCATAACAGAAGAAAAGAGGATACCTACCCAAAGTACCATCAAACAAATGAGAATCTAATGTTTGCTATCAATGTACCAGCACTTCCTCTAAAAACCAATTATATACAGTTTTTCACTGAACTACTTAGACAGTTTATTTTCCCTGATGATTGACATTCTAATTTGCCCCTTTACCGTGCTATAGGTTAGTCTCTGATGATTCATTTTGGTATTTGCTAATATTTCCCCATTATGCAAATAACAAAATCAATATCCCAAAACCACACAAGGGCAATATTATCTATAACAATCAATCCTCATTGTTTATAAAGCCTTTATATATTGCTCTCTGTACTTCCCCAAACACCTAGAACATATACACATGGGCAAAATAGTAACAAGTCTTCCACCTGAGAAAAATTTTGCATTTAAGATTAATATATATGCCTCTCCTTCTCATTTCTCATAACCATATTAAGCTACACAGAATTTGAAATGATAACAGCAGATGGATGAATATAGATATTCCATGGAACAGATGATCTCTCAGATATTTGACTCTGCAGAGTAAAAGGCACATTGAATGACATTTAACAAAGCAAGATATCACAGAAGACTTGTTTGAAACACCATATCTAGTTAGAAACTTTTAAATAAAACTAAAATAAATATAAGAGAGAAATTAAAACAGTCTTCTAAAACTCATGGAAATGTGCACATAGGCATTTATTTAGAGCATGAATATAACCAAGAATAGAATCAGGCAAGGACTGAGCAGAACTATTTCTCAGTATACTGTTTAGGATGTTCTCTATGATGTGCTGAGGAACAATCTGAAAAAAGAAAACTATATGAATCATAAAATTAACAAAATGCAAGGGAGAATTTGAAGGAATAGCAAACTTACCTTACGTATGTATAATTTTTGTCAAAGAGTAACCATAAAAAACTAGGAAAAGCACTACCTAAAATTAAGTTCAAACTACAACCTTATAGGAAAAGATGAGAGGGATTATGTGAAATTCCACTTTTATTATGTGACTGCTCTTGCTTTAACAGCCCCAAGAATTCTGGCAAGAACAGAATTTTTTGTAGAACAGAATTTGGTCTTATGAAAACAATGCTTTTGCCAATACAAATGTACCAAAATCACAGACAATCTTTCTTGATCTGAGAAGGCTGGGGACTCCCAGTGTGAAGGTCTAATATGTCAGAGTTGAAGAGAAATGACTTATGTAGGAGAAACATAGATCATTATTAAAATCTCACTACCTAGACAGTCACTCAAAGTTCTGCTGAAATGTTGGGGCATCCATCTTCTGTCCATAGGCTACAGTGTGTCTGGCAGACTTCCCAGCAAAGCAGGAAATTTTAAACTATTCATCTGCATTGACAGTTTTTCAGTCACTTTTTGTGTACTGCAGAATGTCTGACAGACTCTCCCATGAAGCACTAATCCTTCAGGACTGTCTATGTTGTTATGCAGGGTTCGCAGTCACTTTCCTGTGGGTCCTGCATGTCCAGTTCATACAGCAACAGTCATCCAGCAACAGTCAAGCAGCCCAGGCAAGACCAGTTTCTTGCCCAAATGGCTAGTTTTGTCATTTTGAATGTAAATTCCATAACAAGTTTCTTCGATGCCCATATGCCTCTCAGATGTAACTGGTGTGCCAAGAGTAGTTGTGTCTCACTATCATGAAAATACCTAAATCATTTAAATTACATATGTTCTGTAAGCCTTTGAAAGGTCTGAAGCATTTCTATCCATCTCCAATACATCTCTGTTTATCTAGAAAACTTAACTAACCTAACTATAAGTTCTGACTATTATAAGTGACTATGTACAATCTATATTTAATTATGCATTACATTTTAAAAGAGCAGTATAAACACAATACTTAAAGAAGAGGAGAAATATACATATCACAAAATTGACCTTAAATGTATATCAATAATTGAAAAGCCATACCAATACAAAGTATTCATTTCTATATCATATTCCATTTTCCCTTTAGAAAGAGATTGATTGTGATCATTACAATTTATAACCAACCCTGTAAAAATGAAAGCAAACATTTATAAACAATATTTGGGACTGTGGACATCATTCTCTCTAAACTATTTCCTGCTGGTAGGGGGTGCTGTCTTGGGCATCCTAAAAAGATCTAGAAATCCTGACTGGAGTGGTTTGTAATTGCATAATCTCAGTTGTTTTGGAATGGTGGATCACCTGGGTCACTTCTTCAGGGGAATTTTGCTTCATTAATCCATATGAGTCTAGAAGGAATTCACAGCCTTTTATTTTCTGTGGAAACACAAGCAAAAATTCTTTTCCCAACTAACCTGTCTTTATATTTGAATTTAGAAGTCAAAGCACTTTTAATATATGTAAGTTGGATTAATTTAGTAGCATTTATAACCAAGTGTGTTTTAGCAGTTGTTGTTCCTTCCTTAGCAATTAAACAACTGAAAGAAAGCACAATAGCATACAGTATCCAGACTCTCTGCGAATTTTCCATCTTTACATGGCTTTTTTATAACTCTATATCTTTTTACATTACTTTTTACTTTTTTGAGACAGGGTTTCTCTGTGTGCTTTAGCTGCCATTAAACTTCATCTGTACACCAGGCTTGCCTTGAAATTCATTGCCTCTGCCTCCTGAGTGCTGGGATTAAAGGCATGTGCCACCACTACAAGCTACTCTTTTTCTTTTTTTTTCTTTTTATCCCTATCCTGTTTCTTTTTCTCTCCCAAGCCTATGTATATTTTTTAAACACACTATAAACCTTTTAGAAGTTTTACTTTATCTGAATCTGACTTTACTGTATATTTTCATGTTTTTCTGGCCATGTGTCTAGTATCTGTTAAACAACATTGCTAAAATTAAAGTGGTGGCTGTTTTAGCCACTGACTTTCCAACATGATGGGCATAAGTTTACTGCCAGCACTGGCCATGCAAGTCTCTGCTTGTCTCTGGCAAAACAGAGCCCACCCAAGAAAATGCTGTTACCAAGAAGCCATGCTTGTCTCTGTTCTTTTGTTTCTAAAATCCTTTTTGAGCTTTTGTTAGATTTACATGGAAATTCTTGCCTTATGTTGAGGCTGCCATATGTACCAACCATTCTTCCCATTAGCCTGGTCCCAGAGCCGTGTCAGTCTCAGATGAACATGCAGGATGCTATATTAATTATGAAGCTATTGACTATTTGCTATGCTTTCTTGTTGGTTAGGTCTGACTTAATTATTAATACATAATGGCTAATCTGAGTATTTCCAAGTGGTCTTGTCTTACCAGAGAAAGGGTCTGGATGTCTTACTCCTCTGGCATTCTACATGGTGACTCTCTATACTTGACTACATTCCCCAGACTCTGCCTTGACTCTTAGTCCCACCTATCTTGCTTCCCTATTGTCAAACAGTGCTTTATTTATGAACCAATAAGACAAACACAGAAGGGCTTCCTCCATCAGATCATTCTGTAACAGCAACTGTCATGAGCTATAAGGACTCTGGCCAGGTATAAGTCTCTGTAGTTAGCTATTCAGCAAAGAGTTTCCATCCATGACTGAGACTAATGGTAATGGTGATCCATGAGCATACACATAAACACAAGAAGAAACATTGACAGATATGTCATATCCATTTATAAAAACAGGATCAGTGTCCTCTCCCTTGGGACCTATAAATGCTACAGCTATATGCTTTTTTTACATGGGTTTAGAGGACCAGATACAAGTTTATACCTGACATACAAGCCTAAATTGCATTCATAAAGATGGAATGAATTTGGACCCATAATATTCGTGCTGCTTACACTACAGGACATATCTAGTGTAGTACACAGATTCAATACCAAAGTATATTGTAAATAACTCTCCTCCTGCAATCTGCACTGTGAAAGACAGTCAGAAAGGAATGAGATTTCAATTCAGTCCCAGCCTGGTTTGCCAAAGAATACAGTGTATTCAGTGATGGGGACATTCCATCTGACTAGTCCTATCATAAAAGCAGCAGAAATGTTAGCAGTTTTTAAGGTTCCTGGGGTTTTGGGAGTCTTACTGTACAACAATTCATGGTAACCTTTTTCTCATTTAGTCTCGGCACTTTAATGTAGGTACTTAACTGTGGTCCATTGTGATCTACAAGCTTTTATAAATCTGTAAGACAAACAAGGATTAGTATGTTGTTCTTTTTGGGTTGTTTAGTTTGAGACAGGGTTTCTCTGTATAGCTTTAGAGCCTATCCTGAAACTTGCTCTGTAGACCATGGTGGCCTCAAACTCACAGAGATATGCCTGCCTCTGCCTCCCAAGTGCTGGGATTGAAGGCATGTTCCACCACTGCCTGGCCCAAAGATTTTTATTTTGCAATGAAACCATTTCTCAGAAAGTAGGCAGGATTACCAAATGTCATTGTAGCTTCAAGTGAGCACAAGTTTGTCTTGAATAGCAGAGGAGAAACTAAAAACAAATTCAAACAAGGATCAGTGAACATGGTAAGATCTCATCCCTTGTAGTAACTGCTTTGTCAGGGTGGATATAGCTGTATGGATGGAGCACAGTCCATTATCTAGCTGTCAGTAACCCACAGTCATGATCCAGAAGTCATCTGTCCTTTTCATTCAGTGGCTTTGCTGCTACTGTGGATGCAGAACACCACCCATTTCTTAGTTGTCTTAATAGGGTCATCTTGTATTGCTCAACTTAACTAGTCTTCAAGGGTGAATGGAGATGCTGATATCCTCACAGATGGGGTGAGTAGTCTTCATCCATAGTGTATTTTCTGATACAAGGGAAAAGTACTCATTGCCAACTCCATGTGCACAGTTATACAGCCTTAGTTTTAGGGAGAGAAGGGAAGTTGTTTCATTCAATTTCTCTACTTATCACATCACCAAGCCTACCCTTTCTGTCCTTTTGTACCTCAGTCTCATACTATAGACCACAGAGACTTTTTCATTGCTCTTTAAAGGTAATTTCCTTGGACTGGAGAGACAGATCAGCAGTTAAGAGCATAATGCACTTGAAAAAGACCCAAGTTTGTTTCACAGCATCTATGTCAGGTAGTTCACAACTATGTTTAACTATGGTCCAAGGGGATATGACATCCCCTTATGAACTTTGCCAGCAACTGCACATATCCATGCAGGGTGTACACATATTAACACAATTAAAACTGAAATAAAAATTAAAGTTTCAATTCATAGGTTTCAGATTTTGAGTATTTTCTGATAATCATGGTTTTCTATGCTGAGTATTATAATGGTCCCCATCAAAATCTGAATTGAATGCCAGGCCTAAAAGGTCTCTCTTATCACTTCTTCAATGTCCCTTTATCTCCTAAGTATCTGGATATCTGATTTCTCCCATGGGTTTCAAGATTTTATATCTCTGGAAGGACTCTATCACAGATGTAATCTGTACTTTATTTCTTTTGCATCTCATACTGTCTTCCAGTTTTTACCATTTTTTCCTGCCAAATAGAGGTAAGCACAGCAGGTAGCATCCATATGTCTTCTTCCCAATCTAAGTTTTAAGAATTTTAAATTTTCTAATGTTAGAATTCTAATTTTTCTCTTATACTGGCAAATCTTCTATTACCTTTGCAAGGCAGTTGAGACTCTGTTGCATACATTATTGTCTACAACAATGGACACACAGAAACACCATAGCTTTCTTACAAATCCATCCAATACATGCTACTTTGTGACACTATTCTATGTTCCATAGGCAATCAGTGGTTGGGAGGCATCCCCAGACTCAGGGGTGGAGTACATTGACTAAGAGAAATGCCTGATAGAAAACACAGGGAGATGAGTGCTCTGAGCGTTCAAGGATATTCCACTTTCAGATGGCTTGGTTTTACATCAATTGCAGAGAGCATGCAACCACCACTACACGAAGGAGACACACTATCCTGAACTAAGTAGGAAAAATAGGCATATCAGTGTTGTTACTGTAAATTTTCCACCCTGAAATGTATCAAACTTAGTTTAATGTTTCAGCATTCATTGCCTGAGTCACCCAACTACTGTTTCCCAACAGAAAAGACAAATTAAAAAATGACTAATAACTGAAATGACTAGTTAGTATTTGAAAACATATTGAAAATTCTCTAATTATCATGGAAATTAAAAAATAAAACTTATTTGTGATTCTATCTCACCCCAATCAAAATGGTTATAATGAAGACAGGATATCACCACACGAAATCACAACCAATCAACTTGCAAAATTGTGGAGCCCAGTCCTAATGTATACACCTACAATTACCTCCTGCACCTGAGGTTCAGGGATAAATGTTGAAGATGAGAAGGAAAGGTTGTAAGAGCCAGAGGATCAGGAAGTTTGTTGTGATAGTTTCTCCTAGTAATATCAGAAATATACCCATTAAAATATCACCAACTTGATTTTCTAAACATGAGCTAAACAATGATAATATTAGTCATGCCACACTGGATGGTGGAAAGCTTACAAAGCCTCTCCCTACACAAAGAACTACAGACAAGTAAGAAACATTAACAGCTATAGAAACAGTCTTTCTCAGGAAAAGAAAACAATTGGTTATCAAATACCAAATGATCTACCCTGAATACATATGTATATACATATATACATATATATATATATACAAATAACATCATATAGACTGTGCATATTGTACTTCTGTATTTAGGAATATACACATATATGTATAAAACATATTGTAATAATAATTATAAATGGAGGCCTTTTATTTGAAAAAGAGCAAGGAGCTGTACTTATGAGGGTTTCTCAGAGGTTCTCAACCTTACTAATGTTGTTGCCCTTTAATACAGTTCCTCATGTTCTGTCAGCCTCCAACTATACAATTATTTTCATTACTACTTCACAAACATAATTTTGCAAATGTTATGAATCACAATGTAAATATTTTGGCAGGTAGATGTTTGCCAAATGTGTCACAACTGACACATTGAACTGCTGGTTTAGATAAAGGAAAGGGATGGGAGAAATGAGGTAATTATACTATAATCTAAAAATAAATAAATAAATTTTAATAAGTCATGGCAAGAAGTTAGATAAAAAAGGAACATCTATACACCGTTGGGGTGGAGATAAACTTGAGGTGCCATTATGGAAATCTATATAGAGATTTCCATAATTCAAAAATTTGAACCACCATTATGATCCACTTATGGGTATATTCCCAAAATAATAAGTCCACAAATAAACACATGGTACATTACTTGTGCACCCATATGTGTTGTTGCATTATCTATAAGAATTAAGAAATGAAATCAGATAGGAAGAAAACCAACAAATGAATGGATAATGAAAATATGATACACATACACAATGAAAAAATAAAATTACGACATTTGTAGAAAACCTTAAGAAACCAGAATATTATGTTAAGTAAAGCTCATTAGACTCAGAAAGACAAATATTGTTTGTTTTCTCCCCCATAGAAGGATTGAGATTTAATTTCGGCTGTGTATGTGTGTATGTGTGTGTGTATCTTAAAAATAGACAGAAGCCCATAAAAAAGGAGAGGAAGACATCAAGAGTCAAGAGAAAGAAATGGAAGAGATGGAAGATAATTGAGTTTGTGTTACTTTTAAAATGTGGATGGAAAAGGAGACTTTGTAGAGATAGAAAGAGAACAGGAAGAGTAGTGGGGATAGGGGACAAATAAGTAGAAACTTAATGAAATATATTGACTCATATTATTTTGTATAAGAATTTTAAAAAGGACAACAGATGGAGTCACTGGCAGCGAGTCCAAGATCTAACTCTAATGCACAAACTGACTTAGTGGAGCCTATTCCATATAGAGAGATAACTTGCTCAGTCTAGACACAGTGGGGTGGAAAAGTGGCTTGGTTCTGCCTCAATGAAATGATGGGACAGACTTAGTAGACTTCCTAGGGGAGGCCTTCTCCTCTCCAAGGAGCAGATGGGAGGTGGGTAGGGGATTGGGGGAACAGGAGAAGAGATGGAAGGGGACCTGGGATTGGAATGTAAAAACTAAATTAATTAAAAAAGCAAAAATAAAGAACTCTGAAAAGGAATAAAAATGGAAGAACTGCTTAAACAAGGTATCCCAAATTGACAGTTGAATAGCACTCAATGTTTGAATATTTTACTGCCTATCCTAGAACTTTCAATCAATGATTATATCAACGCAAGTCTGTCATCACCACAATTTATAAAAGATTCTAAGAAACCAAATTCTCAAGAGATTGCTTATGCTTGCCATATATAGTTCACTGATGTAGTCTTGGTGAATGAAGAGTGAATTATGTGCATTTATTTCTGTGTTGTTTTACTGTGATAATATTTTAAAATATTCTCTATTTGAGAATAAAGGGTTAATATACATGTGTTTCTATAACACTGCTCATCACCATAGTGTAAAGTTAGTTCACATTTTGATGGTCCAACCATTACTAGCTGGCAGGAACACTGAATTATATATCAGAGAGCAAAGTGTTATTTTCAAAAAGAGAATAACAGGGTAATATATATGATTTTATGATTATGAAATGTATTTTCCAAATTATTTATAACTAGGTTGTCTGTGAGAAAGTGGTGATTAAGGGAATGCTGTTTTAAATCTTCTCACCAAAATGCATCCATGTATCCTTTTATTTAGAATTTTGGGACAACACTTTCCTAAGAATGGCTTTAGAAAATTTTAATAATATCTGCTCTGAAAATAGTACTGGGGAGACAAATATTACTATTAGCATCAGTTATATTGAGCTAGAAGATACCAAATCTCTGATATTTATCTGTAGAAGTGAAGGTTTCCATTTTTCCAGTCAGCATCTCATCTGCTTCAGAAACAACAGAAGGAACTGTTTCAGCTTCTGGTTTCCCCAGATCAAGATAAAAGAATGACCTGTTGGATAAACAGCACCAACTGCAATGCAAAATAAAAAGATTGTTAAATTATATAAACTCCAACATGATATAATTACACAGAGAGCATATGTGGCATATAACAACAGAAAGGAGACCACAGTTTGCAATGCCTTTATGTGGACCACGGTACTGGGATCTTGACATCCTTTGCCGTGACATTTCATATTCCTGAGATGTTTGCCTAGGGAGTAGATTAAGAGTAGAACACATGTTAGTGATATACAAAATGGTATGATATTTATAAGGCCGAAGAGATGTATGTTTGCAATGCTTGTGATGTCCTTCAGATTGTTCTTCAAAGTCACATTTTCTTCGTAATCACTCTCCCAAGCAACCTTTTTGATGTTCACCACACCAAGATAAAAAAACAAAGACAAGAAAGTCCCCCAAAATATCACGAGAAGAACATTCTCAATTTTTCTTTTTAAGTGAAGAAATAGAGGGTTGGAAAAATTGGCTATTTTGAACAAATAAAAAACACTGAGCATAGTCCCAAGCCAATTGCTAAAATGGTTGTTTACTGTCCAGATAATGCGACCACAAGCTCTTATTTGTACATTGTATGCATCTGCAGTAAACACAGTGGAATGCCAATTCAATGACATCCCAAAGAGCAAGCCAATTCTAGAGATGGCAAGAGCAGTTATAATTCTATCAACAGAGGAGACCTTTCTTCTCTTGATACCATTAATGGTGTTCACTAGAATTATGAAGACATTGGCACAGTTTCCTAAGAGAAATGCTGATATTATTATGATGGTCATAATACATTGTAGTAAATTCATTTCATCTAATCAAACAAAAAAGAGAAAAAGGCATGCCTTACTTTACTGATTTTGATTCTTTTCATATATAGATGTAATTGTATTTGTTCTTGACTAAATATATACTAGAGCTCTTGCTTCATTTAAAAATCTGTGCCAAGAAGAACCCCAGTGAATAATGGATGGATTAAATCTTTTGTTTATGGAAATTCACATTACCATAATGTCTCTAATTACATACATTTGTGTATCTATCATAAGCTAGTGTATTTCAGTGCTAATAAAGGAAGGACAATGTATTCTCATTTGCCAGCAGGCAAATAAATACAAATTCTATTCCACTGTTGGAAATTTTGTTTCTTTAATCATCCATCAACTGTGATAGTCAGCTTTGTTAGTCAAATTTTAGAGCCCATATGTAAAGAATGTAGGGGTATCAGTCAGTATATGAAACTTTGATCATCTAGAATAATTCCCCTCTATGGACTCATTTATTTTTAATATAAGATTCATGTACTAGGAGTCTCAAATTCTCTTCTCAAAAGATCCAAGGTTTACTGAGGAGCATCCAAAAAGCTGGCATTCCTTGAAAACTCCTCACCAATAACAAATGTCTGTGTTTAACCTGATTCTTCATCAGCTCATAAGCATGCACATTTACATACTCAAGCATGGACATGCATTCACAAACATACATGGACAATTCATGGATGGAAGAATTATTGCTCTGTGGTCTTAAAACTGTAAAGTGTGTCTAAGAGACGGCATCAAGGATTATAAATCTCTTTCCCCACTTCAATTTCAGCCCATTCTTAATGTTTTAAAAGTCTTATGTGGAGCTTCACAGTGTTACTCTTGGCTTCATCCCATTTTCAAGTATTATTTGATTAAAATTATTTGAATGTTTGTAACACTTCTTAGACTATTAAAGAACATGATTTCTACCTTTAGCCATCTAAGCAATGAAAATCAAAACTAAACTGAGTTCTGTCTCATTCTAGTCAAAATGTCTATAATCATGAAAGTAGAAATGGAGGCAGAAGCAGGTGGATCTCTGTGAGTTCCAGGCCAGTCTGATCTACAAAGCTACACAGAGAAACTCTGTCTCAAATAGTCTCCCCTCCAAAAAAGCAGAATCCAACTTGAACATGATTCCATTGTGATCCCAGCACTGGAGAGGTGGAAGGGAGGGCAGTAAAAGTGTGGAAAAGACTTACATATTCAGATCTCATCTCATAAAAAGCTGAGTGTAGTTTCTGGAGAAATATCTCCCTGAACATAGGTCAGCCCTAGTAGTACCCACATCGGCCTGGCTCGAAACCACCTGTAACTCCAGCTTCAGGGTATCTGACACTATCTTTTGATCTCTGGTTTTCAGTAGCATTGCTGTTATACTCCATAATCTTTCTTTAAACAGCCTAACGAACCTACAAATTAGTGTCTGGATTAATGAATCTATCAGAAATGGGTCTTTATCCACAGCTAAACACTGAACTGAACTCCTGGAACCCAGTGACAGAGATGGAGGAATGATGAGCAAATTGGTCAAGTGCTGGTGAAACCCACAAAGACATCTTGAGGGGGCTGAGAGGCCAGCAGGGGACTGATCCAGACCCCTTGAATGTAGTGTCAGGGAGAAGGCCTCAGCAATCTCTGGGGCCTTGGGTAGTAGATTAGTGCTTACCATGGCTTACAAATGAACTTTGGGAGTCCACTCCACATGGAGGTATGCTCTCTCAGCCTGGACACATGGGGAATGGCCTAGGTCCTGCCCTGGATGAAATGACAGACTCTGGAGATCCCCACATGGAAGGCCTCACACTCCATGGGGAATGGTATGGGGATTGGGTGGGAGAGGGAGCTGGGATTGACATGTGAAGCATACCTGTTTCTAATTTAAATAGAAACATATATTGTGAAGAAAAAAGAAAAAAAAAGAAATGGGTCTTATAATTCTATAATGAGGAACATTACTCATTTATACTGTTCTGTAATCTAGAATAATTTTCTAAAATTCCTGATAGTAAATAAAACATGAAATATAGGTTATTTTACATAATATATACCTAAGTCACTATTTCATCTGGAAATCCAGTCTACATGCTTCTTAATTCCTCAGAATTGGGAACACACTGTGCACCAGTGATCCCATCTAGGTTAGCATGATCAGACTCATTAAATCCTCATGAATATTTATAAATGTTAGGAATAAATGATGTACCTATTAATTGATGGTACATAGAAAATGTACAGAGGTTTCCCCAATCTGGCTATATGAGTCAAAAATTTCTTTGAAATAGGCCATTGTACTAAGGAAGACATTAAGTCATCTACAGATAACCAAGATCCATCTACCACATTAGATACTTCCTGAATATGCTTTTAAAAATTCACTAAGTAGTATCTAACCTAGTGAATTCAAATCCCCTAGATATGAAACAAGGCAACCTGCTACAAAATCATGAATGAGGATGTGTCTTATTTGCACGCTAGCAAACTAGGCTTCAGTGTTTGCTTCACCATCTTCTGTGACAGATCCCACCCAGTGCTAATGACATTAAATATATGAATAGTTGTTATGAATTGTTTGTGGGGGATAATAAGATCCTCCTCAAAATCAATTTTGCCCTCATTCTTTATTACATGGTGCTCCTATTCTGCTTGATGTTGGTTAGAAAAGGAATAATAACCTGTGATAGTAGGCCTTCCATCTTTTATCTTTCTTAAAATTTCTGGATGTGATAGTGTGTTACCAGGAATCATTTCCTCTTTGTTTTGTGCAATGTTCCCTGAGCCTGAGGTGTTGGGGTTCTGTTGTGCATATAACAATTGGGGTTTGTTATTTTTCAGTTGTGGCTTTCTATGACAGTTTCTATCTACTGAAAAAAGAAAGTTATTTGATGAGGGTGAGACCTGCACTTACCATTGGATATAAGGACAAGTGTAATGAATTCAGCCAGAGATTGTATTGATTTAGGAAAATGATAAAAGTAGTAGGCTGTCCTCTAGGGTTTTAGTATTTGTGCTGCAAGGTACCATGGCATCTCCAGTCATGGGTATTGACCAGTTTACATTACCAAATACGAATCCCCATCCAATTAGTTGTGTTCTCGTTACCCCAAGGATATATGTACCACTATTTCATCTTTCAGAATATCTTTTGCTGATCAATGTTGCAGTTTGAAGGTATTAAAGCTTGATAACATTATTGATTACCTTTCTCCCTCTTCAGCTTGCATGACTCCTTCTCTTCCAGGTCAGACCCATATATGGGTTTCTAAGTCCTGTTTCTGAAGTATGTGGTGTCTTCAATAATAGGGTCATTCCTTCTTTACCTAGAACACAGAAATGGCAATGGCAATAGCCTATATTGTTTTGGTGTCCCTTGAACGCCAAAGGAATTTTGTCCTTGATGGCAGTGGAGTTTTTCCATAAAGTCTATGGTTTGTGGAAGAAGCATTGTCTCTCTAAGTTGAATAACCCATGTATATATACATTATATTATATTCATATACATATATTTGTATATATTTATGTATGAGCATATGTTTAAACTTGTGTATATTATATGTAATTTTAAGTATACACAAAATAATATAGTTTTCCTATGGCTTTTTCAAACAGCATTAGTGTTATTTATCCCTCCTCCTTTCCTTTCCCTCAGTGTTCTCATTTTTTCCCTCTAGGTAAAACTTCATCCATTTTCTACTTCATAGCAACTGTAGTTTTAATTTAAAAAGCAGTCAGAAAACAAATGATTCATTTTCTTAAAGCTAGCTGTATGCAAAACTCAACTCTGAAAAGTAGACATTGAATTAGGTAGTAAAACAACAAGGAAAATTATGCCAATAATTTCACAAAAGGATGATGAGTATCTTTGGGAATAAAACAGGTATTATGAACATAAGTCTTCATAAAAAACTCAGTTGTATTAACAGTTCGTCACTTTAAGATTATATTAGCCTGTATTTCCTCCTTATTTTTATCATGTGCTATTTCAAATGTATTATTATATTCTAGAGAGAATGCTAACATAAATTTATCTCTGTGAATGCCATAATCCAAGCAAATCAGTTATACGTTTATGAAATTTAAATGAAAGGAACGTTTTGTATATTGATGAGAAAGTTATCATTTCTGTTGCTCTTTTATTTTTTTTCTATTGCTCATTATATCATTTACATATTCTTATTTTCCACTCTCTTTGAGCACAATATTTGAGATTTCTTATAGTATACATCTGTCAGGTATCTGGGCAAATGTTTATCTGTTTCAGTTTTGGGATCTACTCCTCCAGTCCAAATTGAGAGTTTTCCTACTTTTGTACTTCCATAATGTTGTTACATAAGATACTTTTATTACACTGTTTTTGACTAAATCTGACACAATCCTTATTGGTCCCTGTGAATGCACCTCTTTTGAGATATTTTGATGTTGTCTCTATTAAACTAATCTGCAAATCTGGGTAGGAATGTGCATTTATATGCTGCTAGGTTCTCTAAGTGTGGTTTACTGAACTTCCTGGATTTAGTGTTTATAGCTTCCACCAGATTTGTGAAACAGGCCATTGTTTATTTTTACATGTGCATTTATTTGTATTTAAGTGTATACATATGTGCCTCCTTGCTTGTATGTGCACTCCATGCACATGAGTATAAAGGCAAGAAGATGATGAAAACCCCCTTTAATCGTAACTACATGGAGTCATTAGCCACATGACATGGGTATGTGGGTGCTGGGCACCAAACCTGGTCCTCTGCAAGAGCAACAAGTGCTGTAAACAGCTGAGCTGTCTCTCCAGCACCATTGGCCATTGTGATTTATACCCAGCTCAACATTTTGAATTATTTTAATTTCACAATTGAACTTTGTTGAATACCAGTGCTGTTCATTTCATTTTTTATTTTCTAATGTGTTTAATTTATGTTTTCAAGTTCATGAATATTTTCTGTTCCTGAAATAACCCCTTACAATACACAGTCCCTTCAAAAATTTGATTTTGAATTATAAATGTTCATTGG